ATTTGAAAGTGAAGTGGTGTGGACTTGTCTAAAAATATTTTTATGGATCCTAAAATGGTTGAGTACAGAAAAACAAATATTTTTCTGGGTTCCTTAATTTGCGGATTTTTTGAAGAATAGTTTTTTACGGTTCCAACAAGTGTCGATTCTTTAATGAATATTTTTCTGCGATCCTACAAGCGTAGATTTTTAAAATCTATTTTTTTATGGATCCTACAAGCGTAGATATATTTCCAAAATGTTTTTTGAAATTCGATCATAAATAACTTTAAATGCAAATACGTCAAAATCACATAGGCTGTACTGGACTTCAATTCCTTCCTTATTGGCATCATCATCCTGAAAATATAATAATTAAATAATTAATGAAAAAAATATTTTGATTTTTAAAAGGACATTTTTCAAGTGGATCGATATAATCGGACGGGGCCGACCATACATACAACTACCACAGAACTCGGATATTTATTCCGAGCCTGGGCAATATTTCGTTATATTTGCCCCAACTTGCCCGATTAGAGGTCAACAGCACATCTTCCTTACATGTTCCGAATATTACAAATATTCAGTACAGCCCTTCTACTTACTTGTCCAGATTCCCTTCCCGTTGGGTTGAGTTGTGATATTCGGCTTATATTCGACTAGAAAACAAACAAAGAAAAAAAGTTTTCGTGTCCATTTCATCCCAAAATTTTATTATGATCATCACCGAAAATTATAGGCGTTGTTCTTGACCATAATTGGAACTTCATGGAAAATTTCAAAGCGATCAGCGCTATATCCGACCTCTAATTTGGTAATGGGTTACTAAATAATATCTGAATACGTAAGCACCTGTAAATATTTAAGTGTAACTCCCACATCCGAATAGATACATCCATATATTTGGTATTAATTTAAAGGCCAATCACTTCTCTTGGCTATACTACTAACTTCTCGGCTGTATGTCCTTCAGGAGTAAATATATACGCTACAGAATACAAATTTTGCAATTTTTCACAAAAAAGTCAGAGTCCATTTGACCCGCTAAATAATAACCGATCTTTATCAAAGCAGACATGCTTATTCTTCTCCATGTAAAATTTCGCGATGTTCGGACCACAATTGCGGCCTCTGGAGCTACCAGAAAAACCGACAAAAATTATGTATTCGGTCCATTTCATCCCCTAAATATTAACCGATCTTTACCAAAAACAATAGAAGTCTTCATTGGCCAGAACCCATCCTACATGCAAAATTTCGTGAAGATTGGTCCATAACTGTGGCCTGTATCGTGTTTACAAATTATAATGAACAGACGGACGGACGGACACATGTCTAGATCGACTCAGCTAGTCGAGATATGACGATCGGTATACAGTAAAAGTAGATTTTTTAAATAATATTTTTGTATGGATCCTACCATCGTAGAGTGTTTTAAAATAGCTTTCCTAATTCGCCAAGAAATAACTTTAAATGCAAATACGTCAAGGACATATAGACTGCACTGGACCACTATAAGGTGTAGATGTTTTAAAGAATATTTTTTTAGACCACCATCAAGGCGAAGATTTTTTAAAGAACATTTTTTTCATGGACCAAAACAAGGCATACATTTTTTTTGTGGCTCTACCATCTATCGTTGCTTAGAAACAACGCCCTCTTGAAGTTTGTGCTTTGGTTAGAGTCCTTGCTTATTGAGTGTTGATTTTTTCCACTGGGTGGCGCCTCCTGACATTCGTTTGTGTTATCCTCATTTACTTGTACAGACAGATTGTACGATTTTTTAAGGATAGAAGACGTATTTTCCAATATAATTATGATGTGAGGTTATAATGAGTTTTTGCATATAGCTTCGGCTTGAACCTATAGCCATCTATTGTCTTTGGCAATGCTCGATTATGTAGCTCTAGAGGCCACATTAATGACCCAAATATTACAAAATTGTACATGGAGCATCGTTGTTTTAATGAACGCCGATCAACATTAAGCGGGTCAAAAGACCGTTGTGAGCTAATATCGCAACATGCACACAACCAACAGGAAAATCATAATTGGAAAATAGAGGATCATATTTCAGGAATAACAGCGGAAGAGCAATCTCAACCCATACTTGAACGGAAAACGAAAGTAAAACCAATAAATCTCTTTCAGAATGCCTGATGAATGAGACTGATAAGATGCATATTGCCTGCTCTCGACAAGAAAGAAGCTGCTAACTGGGGCACAGATGCGTAAATTGCCCAGGGTGAACCACGAACAAACAAGAGCGAACAGTAGACGGATGCCCAGGAGGATAAGACTCTCTTTTCCAGACGATTTGGTCTTCAAAAAGGCAGACGAATGCCAAACCTGCGTGGAAAGAAAAGCTTCTGGCCTCTCTGTTATAAAAAGAGTAGTTCCGGAACGAATTAGTTCATTGGAACTATTCCGAGAAAGGAACGATCGGAACAAGTTCCAACTCTTTAATTAATATAGTCCCTTTTTCTGATTCGTTCCTTTTTGGTGTCTTTATTTATTCTCGTTCTTTTTTGAACTAAAAGGAACTATAAAAAACAAAGGAACTGTAAAGAGCAAAGGAACTGTATGTAATAAACGAACTATACGGAGTAAAGGAACTATACGGAGCCAGGCAACTATAAAGGCAAAGGAACTGTGTGGAGCAAAAGAACTATACGGAGCAAAGGAACTATTTGGAGCAAAGGAACTATGAAAAGCAAAGGAACTATATGGAGTAAAGGAACTATACAGCGCAAAGGAACTATTTAGATCAAAAAACTGTGTGGAGTAAAGGAACTATATGGAGCAAAGGAACTACATTAAGGAACTAGTTCCTTTTTTTTTTAAAAAGAACGAGAAAGATCGATCCGCTACGTGAACTAGATTGCCCAACTCTAGTTATAAAGAGAACGCGACACAGAAGGGTGCTTGAACTCAAATTCCTAAGCGGGATACGAATGTTAGGCCATCATTACTGTCTCAGAATGCCGGAGGAATGAAGAGACTGATATGCTGGTGGAAAGTGTGCAAGGATATTGCCAAGGTCATGACAAGAATAGGGATAAGTAAATCGAATTTCGACTAATCGACATTTTTAATTTAAAAAGTCAAAGTCAATTTTTGATCTTTGAGGAAACAGAAAAGTCGATTTTTCAAGATCGACTTTCGATCCTCTTCATAAATACTTGGTTAATTATCTTAAAGCCCAAATTGCTCAAAAATTAAACACTGTAGCATTTTATTTTATCTGTTGACAACAATTAATTAAAAAATTAAATTTTTAGTCAATTTTGCATTAGTCGATAAAAGTCGAAAATCGATTTTGAACTGGTTTGGCAAAATCGAAAGATCGAAAAGTCGACATTTTATTCAAAGGAAAAAATCGAAAAGTCTCAATGTCGACCTTTGTGCTCGACTACATATCACTAGACAAGACACAAAAGCATGAAATGGCCAGGATGAACCCCGGAGAATGAAGAGCGGGCAGTGGACAGACGTCCAGAAGGATAAATCTGGCTGACGAATGCCAAATCCGCGAAGATTCTTCAAAAAAATGGAAAGAGGAAGCAACACATGGAAATAAGTTTATGGGAAGGTAGCCATGAGACACTATAGAGCCGAGATTTGCCACACCAAAGCGGAGCCAAAATTAAGTAAGACTGCCATGAGAAACCATTGACTGAGGACGGCAATGCTGTCTCTAGTAGACAAGCGCGGAACCCAAATCTAGCCATCTTATATGACGGTAGCTACGCAGTGATCGACGAAAATGCGTGCGTCTAGTAAACTTCAGATTTCTGGTTCAAACTTCCACCGAGAGTCATATGGTCTGGTTAACGTGACGAAAGCATTCATACAAAAGAAGGCCAATAACTTTAAATGCAAATATATCAAAATATTTTAAATTTTCCGCTTCGAGTCTAAAATTATATGTATTGTGATTCCGAATGTATGTAAATGAAATTAGTTTGGTCTCAATATGGTTTGATACTCTCAAATATTCTCAACCACACATATGTTCGATTTTAAAATATGTTTATTAGTGGAATATTTTTCTTATTTCAGCCATAAATAACTTTAAATGCAAATACGCCAAAATCGTACCTTTTCGGTTTCAATAATGATGAGGTGATCGTCGAGTCCAATAAGTCCAATATTTTTAGATGAAATAACTGTAAATGCAAATACGTCAAGTTTTTCGATGAGTTTCTAGGCCATTAGGGTCCTTCGATCATCAATTCCTTGTACATAAATAATGAACCTTACACCTTCAAAAAAAAAAAAAAAAAAAAAAAAAACTATGTCCGGTCCGAAGAAGTCCAAAAGGAAATCCTCTTTATATAGAATAACTTTAAATGCAAATATGCCAAAATATTCGTCGAGGTTCAGAGATGATTTGGAGGCTTCATCGATCCAGTAGATCGTCGAGGTCCGAAAAGGGAATATTTTAGAGGAAATAACTTTAAATGCAAATACGTCAAGTTTTTCGATGATTTTGCTAGGTCATTAGGTTCTTTCGATCATCAATTCCTTGTACATAAATAATGAACCTTACACCTTCAAAAAAACGATGTCCGGTCCGACGAAGACCAAAAGAAAATCCTCTTTATGTAGAATAACTTTAAATGCAAATATGTCAATATTTTCGATGATTTTTCTGGTTCATTAGGTTCCTTCGATCGGCCTTTCCTTACACATAAATATTGAAATATATAACTCTATAGCTTCAAAACGGGATGACAGGTTCGATCCAAAGAGGGAATCCCCCTTATCTATAGAATAACTTTAAATGCAAATATGCCAAAATATTCGTTGAGGTTCAGAGATGATTTGAAGGTTCCATCGATCCAATAGACATTCATTGTGTCATTTCCTGAGTTCAATTTTCGCCGTAGTCAAGCTGTAATGAAATAAATAAAAAATAATTAAAAAATATATATTAAAATAAAATTTCAAAATTTATCAGATGATGACTTTTCTAATTTCCGATTTTTAAAAAATTTGTCTCTTCTTATTTTCAGAAATCCCCACAATGTTGACTGACGTCGGTGAATGGAAAGGTGTTACCGTTGATAATTACACCCTGGAATTTGATTTGGGCGAACCCAGTGAAAAGACCAAAGAAGTTGCTCTCAGAGAATTGCGTGAAACACCCGAAAATCGGCAAAAGGGTTTGGAGGAGCTGAAAAAGTTATTGGACGGTAAGAAAATAGATCAAACAATTCAAAATTGTCATTACACAAAAAAAATGTAGTATTTGACACTAATACATCTTTACAACACGAAATATTGAGTGAAACTTCGTTCAGTTAACAATTATTTTATTCGATTTTAGATGCATGTTTTGAAAATATATGTTATAATTTTTTTAAAAAAAAAGGTTTGACATTTTTGAAAATTGCAATATTTCCAACATGTGATATTTACAATAGTTAGTCGGTCAGCCTCCCTCCCTCCCTCCCTCCCTCGTTTTGACATTCGTGTTGAAATGTTACTTTCAAATATATGTATATTAATGTCTGCTGGGAAAATTGGTGATTATTTTCAAATTCCCAGGTTGTCAATTAACCCCTTTCGATTATATAGTCTCCATAAATATGTATTTACTTCAGTAGGTTAACAAAAAGGTTAGTAATAGTAGCTGTAGTAGAATAGAAATTATCGGTTTGATCTTGGCCTGAGTTCACGCGTAATTGTAAGTTAGATATTGAATATTAATTTCAGCATTAGGAAATTGAATATTTTCAAGTAAATTGCATTACGAAGTTAGTCATATGACGTCTTGACTTGGAAGTATTTTTTTGGATTACAGCAGGAAATAATACGCTGACTATTATTAGTTGTTCACAGCAGGCAAAGAATGATTGATTTTGAATTTTGGCCTAAATCTCCGATATTTGTTAGGTTACAACTATAAAATCTTACCCTCATTTAAATCTAATTTTTCAGACGACTGCAGGAAATAATACGCTGACTATTATTAGTTGTTCACAACAGGCAAAGACTGATTGATTTTGAATTTTGGCCTAAATCTCCGATATTTGTTAGGTTACAACTATAAAAACTTTCCCTTATTTTAATCTGAGGATATTATTCTTTCAAAATCCACTGATTTCATTCAATTCTCTCGAATTTTTATGAGCTATGGCCTCCAGAATCGGACTACCGAAAACTGTACAAAATATTTGAATTTTTGCAATCGTACATTTTGTACGATATCTCAAAAATTTGTTCAGCGACATCGCTTGACCTTTCAATATTTTTCAACAGCAGATATTTCCCTTTCCAAAACTAGTTATTTCATTACGATCATCCCAACATTTCATGAGTTATGACCTCTATAATGTGATTACACAAAAAAATTCGAAAAATAGAAAATTTTGAGTAATGGTACATTTTGTCAAATATCTCAAAAATTTTGCTACTGGTATCGGCTTAACCTGCAATATTTTGTAATAACAGATATTCCTCTTCCCAATTCAAGTTGTTTCATTAAGATCTATCAATTACTTTAGAAGTTATGACCCCTGAGAAATGTACACAGAAAATAAATTCAATTTTGACAAATTCGAGTACGTCAAAGTTTTTGGTGATATCTCCGATATTTTGTCAGCTATATGCATATATCTCAAGAAGATTCTCCTTCAAAATCACTTGATTTTAGTCTGATCATAACAATATTTCATGAGTTATGGCCTCTAGAAAGTGATTACGCAAAAAAGTCAGAAAATTGATTCGAAAATTCGATTTTTGGTTAATTTTTTCGATACCTCGGAAATTTGTTCAGTGACTTCGGCATAATTTGTTCTTTTATTGTATATCATATAATTCTCTTTCCAAAATGAGTTACTTCGCTAAATCCATCTACTACTTTATGAGTTATGACCTCTAGAATCTGATTACCGTTTAAGGTTCTAAAATTTACAATGTGTAAGATTACTAACATGTTGTCCGATATCTCTGAAATTTGTTCGGAGGCATCAGCATATTTTGCAATAATTTTGAATAACAGATATTCCTCTTTCCATACTAAGTGATTTCATTAAGATCCGCTTATTTTATCAAAAGTTTTGGATTTCCGAATATAAATACAGAAAATTGCTTGAATGTGGTAAATTCGAGTATTTGAGTATTTTTGACGATATCTCGGGTATTTTGTGGGCTACATTAACAAAACATGCCTTTATTTGGACCTCAAGATGGCTCTCTTTCGAAATTAGCCGATTTCATTCGATTACATTAAATATTTCATGGGTTATGTCCTTTAGAAGTGGTTTCACAAAAAAGGTTGAAACCCTGTTAAATTCGAGTATTCGTACATTTTGTGCGATATCTCTAAATTTTGTTCAATGACTTCGTATTTATTTGGCATATTTTTGAATGTCAGATATTTCTCCTTCCAAAATTAGTCACTTCACTAAGATCCGCCAAATATTTCATGAGTTATGACCTCTTGAATGTGAATACGCAAAACAAAAACTTAAAGTGGATATATTTGGGTAATCATATATTTTACCCGATATCTCTAATTGTTGGTCAGTGACTTCGGTTGATCTTTCAATATTTTACAACATCAGCTGTTTCGCTTCTATTTCAAAATTTATTTTATTTAAATCCGCCGACAATTTCAAAAGTTATGGCCCGGCGAAATATGAACACGGAAAAATAATAAAAATTGGTAAACTTGAGGTCTTGGATATTTTTGGCTATATCTTGGATATTCATTCGGATACAAAGACAAATTTCATTTGGATCTTAAGATAATTTTCTTTCAAAATTATCCGATTTCATTCAGATCCATAGATTATTTCAGGAGTTATGACCTCCAGAAAATTATTACTTAACATTTTTCCGAAAATGGATAATTTTAAGTAATCCTACATTTTTTCCCATATCTCCAAAATTTGATAAGTGACATCGATCAAACTTGTTATATTCTTCAACATGAGATATATCTCTTTCCAAATCAAGTTATTTCTTTAAGATCCGCTGATTATATCGAAAGTTATGGGTTCGGAAATATGAATACGGACAATTTTTAAAATATGATCATTTCAGGTGTCTGAGTATTTTTGATGATATCTCGGGTACTTCGTTGGCTAAATGTATAAAATCTGACTTTATTTAGATTTCAAGAAGATTCTCTTTCATATCTAAACGATTCCATTCAATTCCATTGAATATTTTTTGAGTTATGGCCTCTGGAGACCGATTACAAAAAAATCTTCCGAAATGGTTAAATTTCTGTAATCATACATTTTGTCCGATATCTCAGAAATTTGTTTGAGTTATAACGGCTTATTATGCTATTTTCTTGGATATAAGATATTTTTCTATCTAAATCCATTTATTTTATTAAGATCCGCAGGTTATATCCAAAGTTATGGGTTCGGAAATATAAATACAGAAAATTGTTAAATGTTGATAAATTCGAGTGTCTGAGTATTTTTGATAATATCTCGGGTATTTAGTTGGCTAAATATACAAAAATGGACTTTATTTGGATCCAAAGAAGATCCTCTTTCAAACCTAATTGATTTTATTTAACTCCATTTATTAGTTTTTGAGTTATGGCCTCTGGAGACCGATTACGAAAAAATCTTCCGAAAATGATTAAATTTGAGTGATCATACATTTTGTCCGATATCTCAGAAATTTGTTCAGTTATACCAGCTTATAATGCAATTTTCTTGGATATACGATATTTTTCTATCCAAATCCAGTTATTTTTATTAAGATCCGCAGGTTATATCCAAAGTTATGGGTTCCGAAATATAAATACAGAAATTGTTTAATGTTGATAAATTCGAGTGTCTGAGTATTTTTGATGATATCTCGGGTATTTAGTTGACTAAATATACAAAAATGGACTTTATTTGGATCCCAAGAAGATTCTCTTTCATATCTAATCGATTCCATTCAATTCCATTGATTATTTTTTGAGTTATGGCCTCTGGAGACCGATTACGAAAAAAATCTTCCGAAAATGGTTAAATTTGAGTAATCATACATTTTGTCCGATATCTCTGAAAATTTGTTGAGTTATATCGCTCTAACTTGGTCTACACTTGAAGGCGAGATATTTCTCTTTCCAAAACAAGTTATTTCATTTAGATCCGCCTATTATTTCAGAAATTATGGCCCCTGAAAAATGTATATGTAAAAATATGAGCATTAAGTAAATTAAAGTTATTGAATACTTTAGGCGATATCTCATGTATTTGGCGGGCTGCATCCATAAAACTTTAATTCATTTGGATCTCAGGAAGATCCTCTTTCAAAATAAATAGATTTTATTTAGATCCCCTGAATAGTTCGTGAGTTATGACCTCTAGAGTAAGGTTACCGAAAATTTTCCGAAAATGCTGAAATTTGAGTAGCTGTAAATTTTGTCCGATATCTTTAAATTTTGGTCAGTGACATCGACTTAATTGGTCTTATTTTTGAATAGTAGTTAATTCTCTTTTGAAAACAATTTATTTTATTAAGATCCACCGATAATTTCAGAAGTTATGACCTCCGGAACATGAGTACCGAAAAATATTTCATTTTTGGTAAATTTGGGCGCTTACGGATTTCTTCGGATATCTCGGGTATGTGCTAGGCCACATGGGTATAATTGATCATATTTTTGAATAGTAGCTAATTCTCTTTTGAATTCAATTTATTTTATTAAGATCCACCTATAATTTCAGAAGTTATGACCACCGGAACATGAGTGAAATATTTAATGTTGGTAAATTCGGGCTTTTACGTATTTCTTTGGATATCCTGGGTATTTACAGGGTCACATCGGTATAACCTGGATCTTTGGGATCTGAAGATAATATTCTTTATAATTCAATTGATTTTATTCAATACTAACCGGCTTCCATAATTATATTAGGTCAGTTCGCTCCTTGTATGGCCCATAATTTATGTAAATTTTAAAAGTCAACTAAATTGTTTTTTTTTCAATAAAATTAGTCCAAAGACCTCTAGATATGGTCACAAATCAAATTAGTGGACTTCATTAATTTCTTTAAGCTACGTTTTGGTTTTTTCGTTGTTGTTGTTGTTGTTTTTTTACTTTGCTTTTGGACAATAACCTTGAACTTAACTTGAATAACACAACACATTTGTTCGAAAGAAGACAAAAAAAATGAAATAAATAAATACATAAAAATTACCTCTACCTACCCTATCTACCTCTATATGGGCA